GCATTGTTTGTTCTGTTTTTTTAATTTTATTTTAAAAGAAACCAAGACAACCACAACACTAGTAGTTTTCAAATTATATGCACGGATGTAATTATTTTTTGACAGATTCCTACTATATTTCTTTATCCAGATTATCATTTATAACTTGCATGATCAACACAGTTTGGAACAAACACACTGTGTACCTGTTTAATAAAGTTACATTTTAGCTATTTTCATGCTTTTTCCATCTCCTTTCCTTTTTGTTTTAATTTGTGTAGTGGTGACACATGTTTAAGGCTAGCTGCTCTGTGTGCTTCAGGTAAGGATTATTGTGGCCCTCCTGGGGTCGACAGTAAGATCGAGGAGAGCTCAGACATCCCCATCCTGGAAGACACCTCTTCCTCCCCCACTGACTGTCCTCATCTCTGCTGGCTGGTGGCCACTGATATAGAAAACATCGAAAAGTACGTAGATGAAAAATGTAAAAAAAAAAAAAACGTGTTGTGTCCTTCTGTATGTGCGTGTGTGTTTGTAACTTTATTGGTCAAAACACATGTGGAAACATAATGCAAAGTACACAAGTGGACATATTTTTCAGTTTTAGTCACATCGCAATGGCACAACAGGGTTTAACATTTTGCATTTTAACATTCATTCTGCTATTTACATTATTAACAGCTAATCCTCAATTTAAGATATAAGATAAGTTCAAACACACTCAAATATTGCTCTTTTAGCCTCACAAATAAGTTGATAATTTATAGGCGGATTTATAAAATATTTATTTTTATGAAGATATAATTGCACAACAGTATGTGCATTGAGGAAAATTCATATTAAAATAAAAACCTAAATTACACCCAGAGAATTTCCATATATTTGTGTAGAACTGTGCCAACCTACATTATTTACAGTATATGCAGTTATTGTACAGACAGAGCAGACAACATGTGATGTTATTTGTCTGTGGTTATAGCAACCACGTTTTACTTGGGATGTTGAAAACTATTTGAAAGATATGTCACATACTGGGGTTGCATCCAGTACTTACAGAGTGTACTGTGCTTTGTCAGTGTTTATCACATTACATGCAAATTAGACATTTCACTGTGCAATACAGCACATTTTAAGATACATTTTTACATACATTTATGTGTGTGTGTGTGTGTGTGTGTGTGTGTGAAAATACACTACATGATAGATGCTATAGGTACATTACACAAAAGCCCTTATTTGTGTTATTGCAGGGATATGAGGGAGATGAAGAACCTTCTCAGTAAACTCAGGGAGACAATGCCTTTACCACTGAAGAACCAAGGTAAGATAGAAACCAAACACTTTCTTTAACTTCCCTATCTTACACACACTTCACCACACACACACCTCAACCCCAGAGAGGAGTTTTGAATAGTCAGAAAGTATAGAAGATTCAATAGGATAAAGAGGTTTTGATTGAAGCTTGGAAAAATAGCTCAAACCAGCAAAGATGTCCAACTTGGCAGTGGTTTGCGTGTGTTCTTGTGCCCAGATGACAGCAGTTTGCTGAACCTGACTCCCTACCCACTGGTCCGACAGAGGAAGAGGCGGTTCTTTGGGCTCTGTTGCCTGGTAACCAGCTAAGGGCCCCGCCTTCGTGGGTAGGAGGCGGCAACAAAGACACCATTACCCACTGTCCTTCACCACTTGTGTCTCCCACCAATCTATTACTGCCATTTTCAAATAAATTGTCTCTTTCTCTTTTTTTTAAAGGCTGCCCATTTTATAATTTTATTTTGTAATACAAATAAGAATTGTAACTGCAATGTAATGAAAACAAAAGTCATGAACATATATTTTAAGATATTTTGCAACAAATTTTCCCTTTTTTGGTAAATGAAGTCAGATATCTGCTTGTCCAATGTAAAAGAGAATGAGAGGTCATTTGAAATAATGTCAATGTACAAAAACTTCCATGAATGAAATGAGGATTCATGTTTTAAAAAAGGGAATATAATTGTCTGTTTTTGTCAGAAATAATGTAATAACTTATGAATAGACGCCATCCAAATATTTGAGGATGGCACTTGCAAAGGCAAAGTTATACATTTGTCCGTCTAAGCTGAGATAACAGGTTTGTGCACAGTAAGTTTGTTGTGTATTACCATCTCTGTTTCTGTTTCTTGCTGTTTTTTCTTCTTATATGTACTTAATTTAGTCTTCCATAAACCAAGAACCTGTACCCAACTTTAACTTTCCAGCTTCAAAAGGAATATATACAATACTCTAAAAGAAAACTTCTTTGCACACAATATCTATCTATAAATTGAGACATTAGACTTGTATATACACATACTCTTTACGCAATGCTCTCTGAATTATTTTCAAAGTTGAAGTTGGTTAACAAAGAATCTGTTGGTTGGTATAAGCAGGGAGGGTCTCCCTCTGTCTGAGGAAGTCAGTGCAGACAGAGGGTGGGCAGCATGAGTCTTGCTTATTAATGATAGTGATCAATGTTTAGGGCATGGTGAAGATACAGTAGTCAAAGCTGATATAGGTCATTTTACATTGTTAATAAAACTTTTGTTATTGAAACTAATCAACTAGTCTCTGAATTTTTCTTGCATGCAATCCACAAAAATGTCCACTGGGTGGAGACAAATTATGAAAAAAATAGTGAAACTCTCACAAATAACCCAACATTTACTGTATGTTATTTTGATATTCTTTTTGGTTTACTGGGCATTGTCCCACTGATAAGCCTGTTTGTACAGTAAACATTTCTATCTGGGAGGGCTACAGGGGGACAAAGATAGATGTTGATGCAGAGGGGGAGAGAGAGAAAAGTCAGATAATCTCTAAGTCCATAACAAGCAGCTTTTGTTTATATTTACAGAATGGTGCAGAAATTGAGTGGAAAGGAAAGATTATACTGGCAGGCCTCAGACATGATCCAGCTTAGGTGACCAGCTGGATCATGTCTGAGGCCTGCTGCTAATATGAAAAGTATTGTCTCAGTAAATGAAAAACGTCAAGCTTTCTTCAGCGTGTAGTGTTCACTGGCTAACATGGTTTCTTTCATTAATCTGCTACAACCCAAACATTGGACATGTATACTATTTATAATAATTTATACATGCAGGTTAGGTGAATTTAAAGGTGTGAATGTGTGCCCTTTGACAAACTGGTGACATGCCCAACACATGCAGGGTTACACTCAAGTCCTCTACACAGCATAAGTACGATAGAATGGGTGGATGAATGGATACTATAATAATTTTATATATAAAACTGTTGTAAAATATTCAAAATACAGATGATGCATATTTTTTTTGTCGTGGAAGCCATGTATCTCCAAAATTGGTAATTCTGCACATAAAGTGTTCCTTCATGGATTTAGAAATTTCCCCTTCTTCTTAAACTAAATAAACTACTAAAAAACTGTTGGACTATGTAAAAATGCATTGTCACAAAGCTGAAAACAGGGCTGTTTCTTGAAAAGGTGACTTTTTGGAGATGATGATTTTCACAGGACATAACAATATAATGCAAACACGATAACTTCTGTAGATTCACCCTCATTCTCCCACTGATTAACAGTAAAAACGTTTCCAGGACTACAGATGTGTTACAAATGCAGGTCTCAAGAGGCTGCTGAATGTTTTGATGAAAATGAAAATGCATTTGCTGTGTACTTTACTGTCATCGGATCACTATTGAACAGCTGTTGGGGGTTTTCTTTTTTGTCAGGAAACGCTCTTCACCAAACCATCATTAAAATGAGTTTCAGAGACTTGAAAAGGCTATGCCAGTGGTTTCCAACTTGGGGGTCAGGAGCCCCACTAAAAGTTGCCAAAGCTTCATGGGGGGTTGTGAGGCCTTATTGCTTTTAAGCTGTTAATTTTTAAAAGAAACTTTTAAAGAAAAGCTTAGATAGTATGTATGATTGTTTAAAAAAAATAAAAAATAAAGAAAAATACAGACAGATTATTGCATAATAAGGTTCCTAAAACTATTAGGAAAAGAAAAAACAATCTGATGTAATATTCATAAGAAATAATCTTCTCAAAATTCATCCAAATCGCTTGTTTTAAACAAACTTTTTGCAGTTATTGCATTCACTATTTGGGTTAGTTGTAAAGTTTATCATTTGTTCTGTACTATTATTGTTATGCACTGAATATAATATGAAGTATCCATAAAATATGTCAGGGGTCGTCAGTTTACTCAATGATAGAAAAGGGGTCCCTTAAGAAAAGGGGTCCCTTAAGGAAAAATGTTGGGAAATCACTGATCTGTGATAAATCTATTCAGGCAGCTTTTGCATGGCCGAATCTCTTACTAAGGTTGTTTTTATCTCTTATATTTTGTTATATGTTTTTCTTTTGAGTTCCTTGGAGTTAATAATGTGTAGAGCTTGTGGGGACCCAAAAAACTTCTGTATGTCAGCTAGTGTGTTTCACCCCATTAAGAGTGTGAGCATGTGCGCTGGTTCTGAAGCATTTCTAGCACCTTCCTCTCACACACCAGCCTCTGTGTACAACAAGGTGTAACTGAGGGAATCACATCTGCTGACAATACGCATTTTGATGTGATGAAGAGTAGCTGGTGTCTTCATACAGTTTTACAGGCAGGTTCAGACACACACACACACAGCATGAGAGGGCAGTGAGCCAGAGGCAGGAATAGATTGTCAGCAGGGGTTTACTTGGCAGGCTGAGCGCTGTCTGGTTTAGAAAACACAGGGCATGAAATAGACCATATCAGTCCAAAGCACAGATTTTCAAACATCATCTCAATGGGCATTTTTGAAACTATTTCCTTCAAAACTAGACCTACTTTATGCAGTGTATTGTGTATGTTACATATTAAGAGATCAATCACACACTAGATGGAAAGACAACACTGCACAAGCTGTGTTTGTGGACACAATCTCTGGAATAACTACAACTATTTGTAATTGGGTTTTTTGGGTTCATCTCTCCCTCTCATGTATTAGACCATCAGAAAAAGTTAAATGATGAAAAGACATTCAACATGGCTGGCGTTTTTTCTATTTATTCCTTTATAGTTTTATACATGTATAACATTTCACTTTAACAATGTGTTGAAGCAGTGACACTTGATACAATAGTAATTCACTAGAAAAATATAATGTTATAGAGGATTTATGTGTAAAGAAACGTATAGATATAAGGTCATAAGGTCAAGCCCTCCTCCTGGATCCTTAGGCAGCACAAGGCAGGATACTGACAACCGACACCTGTTCTCCTTTACATCGCTTCAGTCCTGCTTCACACTCGCTCATGGTCTGACTTGCTGCAGTCGCATCTTCCCCAATACGGACACACACATTCAATCCTGGGGTCAAGCAATCTGCAGAGTCCTTACAGCGACACTCGTTGGTTTGATCTATAAGAATGGTATGAAGAAAAATGAGATCAGTGGCTTCAGATTTCCAATACTGTTCGTTATTTTGGAACATTTGTAACCTCGGATGTCCCTACCGTCACAGGTCTCCCACATGTGACACTTGGTGCAGCCTGTTGTGTTGCGCTCTGGCCAGTTGCAGGTGCTGTCATCTACTATGCTGTGGATCTTCCCCATACACTGCAGTACATGCATTTTGCACACATTCAGAAGGACTGATTTTCTGCCCACAGCAGCTGTGGCACACACCTCCAAAGATGAACTGGTGACAAAAACCAAAAATCAACAAAGACAGCAACCACAAGAGCAAGACATTCAATCAAATCAGTCCAGAAAGTCATATAACCAAATTGGTAAAGAGAAGAGTAACATACCTGCACTCAAAAGGCATTTTGCAAACACATCTTCCTCTGACAGACTTCTCCCACAATTTACATTGCACCAATGGAGAGATGGGTTGTTGTGGCGTTTTGACTGTGGGATGCATAGAATTCATTCTTCCACATTACTAACCGACTAATATCCACACATGCAATGAATATTATCATGATAATTATAGTATATGGAACAGTAAAGCATGAGAATAAGTAGTAGGGTACAATACACTGCAGTCACATCTTTTTACACAGCAGTTATTTATATGAGCATTTAGGTCAATTTTACCTGGACTGCATTTGATTATCCTTGGGTCTGGTGAAAAATGCAGACTGGAGTCACATATAATCGTTGCTTCTCCTAATAGCTGTCTACCCGGTGGACAGGACAAGGAAACTGTATCCCCTATCCCATAGGTGTGATTTAAAGGAGAGGCTATGACACCCTCACCGAGGTCCTCAAGCCTGCACATTGAGACTGGGAAAACAAAATTGACTTAAACAAAGTAACACTGTAATTCATTGTGATCATAAATGTTACATTTTGGTGAAAGGTTACTGACTTGTGCATAGTCCATTCCAGCCAGACCATCTTTGATTCTCGGTGCATTGTATAATGCTGTTACCAGTAAGATGGAAACCGCCAGTGCAGCTGTACTCGACCTTACTACCCACAAGGTAAATGTCCTTAGGGTCCTGTGGAGCATATGGTGACAAAAAGGTACAGAAATTAAGAGACTGAAATTTGAATAACCAATGTGAGCCAATGCCACTGAGCCAAGCAAATTTCACTTTACAGGAGACACATTAAATATTTAATTTCATAGGCCCTATTATGCAAAATACATTTAGAAAGTTCTGAGCGTAAATATCAATCATTTATGGAACATATACACAAAAACATCTCCCACATTGGTGCCATGTTTTTCCATGTTGGGTCTCAAATTCAATTATTACATTTACAAAATTACACTACATATTTCTCCATATTAAAATATGGGTGTATTCCTAGTAAATTAGACTGACTGACTGATGACTGACTGACTGATGACTGATGTAAAGACAAATTATATGAGGGGGAGTAACATTGTGGCCTTCTGGATAATATTGAACCAATACTGGAAAAGGTTATAGTGATTATAAAAATATTAAATGTTTGCAATAACTTGTTCCACAGTGAACAGTAAATTCAAGTTTGGTTTCAACTTTACCAGGATGTAGCCATTTATTAGAGCAGGCGGGGTTCCACACTTCTGACTGGCTGGGAGAGTTGGATCAAAGCACTGAGGCTCCATGGTTCTGTAGAAAGTTAAAAAATAGGCTGTTGTACAACTTCACAGAAGACAATCAGTGTAAAACCTCTTCTTTAAAATGTAAATCCCCAGAAACTCAACGCAAACAGTTCAACATGGCAGCCGCCACGGAAGGCGACCTGCGATGTCTGTAGATAAAAACAGCTCATTCTAAGGTAGCGAAAACACAACAATTGTTATATTCAGGTGATTATACACTAAAGAAAACATACCTATGAATAGTATATGTCATTTCTGCCAAAAGAGCTTCATAGTTACACACTGTACATTTAAAGCAATGACTGGTGCTGCCTGTTACAAAGATTTGACAAAAATTCAAAATAAAAGTCACTCTGACCTTAAGTATTGTAGATCTTGGTCTTCACAGTCAGATGTCTCAGTGGTTTCTCCGATACAGTGTTGCCCCCCATTCTGAGGAGTGGGATTGGAGCAGGAACGTCTTCTTGACCTTTTACCCCCAAAGCACGATGACCAGGCAGACCAGCAGGCCCAACTACCGTGGATAACTCCTTGATGAGCAGAAACAGAGAAGAAGACAGGGAGCGAAAGTGAGGAATACATTACAGTTCATGGGATATTATCCAAGAGTTACTCAGGTATTCAGCCTGTTCAAAGCAAAAAAAAATAAAAAAAATACCACTGTTAGAGCATACATGGCCATAAAAAAAGAAAAGCCATACAAAAAGTGTAAAAATTTGGTTTTGTGGTCATATTGTGGGGTCTACCCTGGCTACCTATTTTTTACACTTTGGTTTTTGTATAGCTTAAACAAACAAGCTATTATATGTTAATTTGTGAGCTTTAGAGGTGCTCTTAAGCAGAGTTTGTTAACTTTGGCTGTTTGTTTTGTTTTCAGTCTTTATGCAAAGCTAAGCTAACTGGCTGTTGCCAGTAGCTTCATATTTAGGCTACTATACATAAGATTGATATTAATCTTCTTATCTAACTCTCAACAAGAAGTGTATTTCCTGAAATGTAAAATTTGTATTCCTTTAAACAAATCACAACATCTTCTCTGCAGTAGTAAAGAACCTGTCTGAAATGCAGTGTTGGGTTAGTTACTCAAAAAATGTTGTTTATTACTCAATACTCTTAAAAAGTAGGGGTGTAACTGTAATATTGTTACTGAACTTTATTAGTAATTAGTTACACTACGGGTTACTGGGGAAAGGATAATTACTCATAGTGCCTTACAGCCCAACACTGCTGAAATGTAACACCCACCCTGTTGACCTTCTACTTCACTTCCATGCTCACAGGCCTGTCCTGATGTGCCAGGCTTACAGATGCATTTGCATACATTTCCAACCACGGTAACAATGCCATTATTTCTGCACGGCCGGCAGTGGCAGCGGTCATTCTCAGTAAGGTACTGCTCTATGGCCCTGCGAAGGTAGAGCCTCTTCACCCCTGCACACTGAACCTCCTTCACCAGGTCTGAGAGCGGCCGTAGCTGCAAAAATAAGAGTTGGCATAAGAGAGTCAAACTAAAGGGAGATGGTTGTATTATTTGAGAAGATGACATACAAAAAATGCAAAGTAAATCTAACAATACGTTAAGCTTTTAAAGTTTAAAGATTATTTTACTTTCCCTCACCTTTTTTTTTGTGACTATTGGAAAGGATCGAACAGAGTCAGCCCAGTTTGAGTACACCTCCCAGTTCTTATCTGGCTCACTGGGCTGCATGTTCTGCAGTACTCCAGTATACTGGTTGTCTCCTCCATTCACATCCACTTTTGTCATTCTATCATTCCTGATAGTTCTTTCAACTATTTTAAAAAGATTTGCAGAGATCATGGATGACCGAAAGATTTAGAAAGTGCTTTCATAGGCTCTGGTATGTTTGTAAAATTAAAATCAAAATTACCAGTTTGTGATGGGCGTCCACCTTCATTATTCCTGCAGTCCACTCGGGTGATGGGGAAAAAAAGAACCCAACGTTTCTTCCTTTCACATTCCCTAGACTCATACTTTTCTTTGACTTGATAACAATAGAAAGTAAAAGGAAAAAGACAACAAGAAACAAAGGTCAGCAGTAAAAATGAACAGCGCTTCATGTATGGACTGGCAACTGTATCAACCTTTAGATTTGTATTTTAAAAACTATAATACTTAATACTGAAAAATACTAACTGAAAAACTGTGTCATGTTGAATTCAAAAAAACAGTTTAAAATATTTTCTAATATGCATTTTTCATTTCTAAATGCATCAAGAAATATATTATTTAATGTTTTTGATTTGACATTTTCAAATGCATTCTGATCCCATAAAAATATATTTATAGCAAATACTCTTCACTTAGCTGTGATACATGTCAATTTCATACATAAAAACACTTCATAATAAAACGACAGACACAACCAGGAACCATTAGAATATAAATATAAATAACTATGAATGTTAGGTTAAAGGTACTTTGTTCCCCCATCATGAATATAAAGGTTTCTCAAAAACATGTCAAGCTGAATCTGTCAGCTGCCTATTAAGTCACTATTCTTTGATTTTGGCCTGCCATGAAGTTGCTGATGATGAAAATAAAAGGAATCCTCACACATATGTTTTTCAGTTTCTTGATCAATCTTGGCGACGATCTTTAAAGAGCCTCCAAGGCTACCCTCAGACAGGTAGTGTGTTCCAAACCTTTCCAAAACCTTCTTGTAGGCAGCATAGTTGTAGACTGACGGGAGTTTGACCAGTGCCTTCCAAAACTCCTCAGATATTGGGATGTACTGAGGAGAGTTGCTCTGGAACTGAGCTATCTCTATGTCATTATTCAAAACCAAAACCTTGTAGATCTGGAAGTATGACAAAAAATCTATGAAAAGTTTAATTATACAGTTTGATTGTCCTTTTCAAAAATAAAAATTGTTGAGCTCCTTCTTACCTGACTCCTGTCATCTGACTCATGAAGGTCATAGTTTCGAAATCCTGTTGTGGTCCCCGTTACTGTTTGTCTGTTGACAATGTCCTTTGCATAGTGCCATGTACTTTGAAACATTTCATCACTGAAGTCATTTTGAACTTTAACCTGGGAACAGCACAGGTTTAACAATCACATAGTAGGTTGAAATCAATAAATGTTATGAAAATTAAACTGCAATGTCGAGCCTTTAAAGGAACCCTGTGGAGATTTTGACCACTAGTGCTGACTCACTAGTGCAACTCACAGACTCATGGATTGGATGTCATTATATAGATAATGTTTCCAGATACAGATGACATGTTAATATCTGGTGAAAAGGTGTCATCGTAGGTGGTTGGGTCAACAAACCAAGAGATTTCAACACACAATTAGAAGTTTATATATACAGGGGTCGCCTTTCATGGAGTCTACCATGTTGAACTGCCATGTTTCAACAGTAGCCCGGAAGAGACAAACCAAACCTGGACCTAGTGCGTTTGCATTTTTCGCACATTTAAGGATTCCTTAAGAATTGTAAGAAATGTTGAATGCAAACAAAACTGTGTTAATGAGCAATCAAAACTCCACAGGGCACCTACAGTTTTACTGCAGACGTAACCAAGAGAAACTTCAATATTAATTGCAATTGTGGCTGTTTCCAGAATGACCAACCATAAAGCTGTACTTGATAGTACTAAGGGGCAGTCTGTAAAAAGCATTGCCAACACCGCTGAAGGTTCTGTGACACTGGCCCCCAAAGCTCTTTGTGTTGATGACAATGCCTCTCGATGTCCCTGATGTCACATCAAACCTACAGAAGCAATAAAAGTAAAAGCATCCTACTGGTTAGCATATGGCACCTGCTTGTGTGTGCTTGTATGGATACACAAACACCATTAGGTCTATGTCAAAATTTGTCTCTTACCCAAGTCCTAGGAGTTCAACGTTAGGTGGGGGAGCTGATTCTGTACATATAATGTATTTTTGAATGCTGCAGCTGAGTTCGTCGAGTCCATCTTCCTCACAGTCCTGATCTCCGTTACACACCAAAGACTGGCTAACACACTTCCCTGAGGGTCAAGAGACAGGGAGACAGCTCAGTGATTGTCCTGTACTGTAATTCTGAGTGAACAGCATGCTTTTTCCAACCTGATCGACAACGAAACCTGTCTCCACATCCATCCTCTAGAGGGCAGCCTCGTGTGGTTTCACAGGGCCTCTTCTCTGATTGTGTTCCATCGCAGGGGTTTCCCCCAAACTGAGCGAAGACAGTCATGACTCTGCTTCTTGTCTGTAGCATAACATAACATAACATAACATAACAAAGACATAAATTAATAGCAATAATAATACTAACAAGCAAACTGATTTAAAAATATCTTTATCAATTTTTTTTCTTAAATAACAGAATCCTGAGCAGTTTTGTGTGTATTTTAGCATAATCTCCTAACCTGGAATTTGGTGCAGCCATCACACTCTGACCATTCACCATAAGGCCCCCACTGGCAATGGACTGGCTGGTCACAAAACCTTTGAAATTAAATTTAAATCCAATAATTTAATGAAACCAAATCAATTCAGTGAAGTCAAATAATACTTGCATATGTTTGTCATTTATAATCTTGTGTTTTTAATGTCGTAACAGTAAAACAGAAACAGATTTACCCTTTGGGAATGAACAGGAGTAGCAGCCAGGGCAAGACTGAGAAGAAGAGTTGTGTAATGATCTGAAGAAGTAAATAAGAGAAGAGGAGAGAATGGAGAAGAAAAGGGAGATTAGAAGAGAAGAAAAGAAAGTAGAAGAGAGGAGAAAAAGAGGTGGAGAAGAGAGAAGGAAAGGGGAGAAGAGAAGAAGAGAAAAAAGATGAGGAAAAAAGAAGGTTTGAAGTAGAGAAGAGGAGAAAGGAGAAGAAAGTAGAAAAGAAGAAAACACAAAGAGAAGTGAAAGAGGAGAGAAGAGAAGTAAAGAGAAGAGGGGAGAAGAGAAGAAAGTAGAAGACAGCACAAAACAAGAAAAGAGAAACGAGAAGAAAAGAAACGAGAAGATGGGGGAAGAAGGAGTTTTAATAGTAAACTGAGGACACAAAGTAAATGTTAAAGCCATCTAACTAAAATCAGATTTCAGTGACAAAGTTATAAAGAATATCATATTTATACATTCATACAGTCCAGAAATCAGAACAATCTGTATTTAAAATCTTAACTCTTACTGAGTGCAAAAAATCTACTTACCTTCATGGCGAGTGAAGAACAGAAAACAGAAGACTGTTGAATAGGCTTTGACACTGGTGATTTATATTGCTGAAAGTTTCATTCTTGTGGGGGAGTCTTGTAACTGTAGCAGGACATTCCAAAGAAATCATGGAGTTTCATGAGGGAAAACGTGTGTGTGTGTGTGTGTGTGTGTGTGTCTGCCAAAAACTCCTCCAGAGAAGCAAATATTCCTCTTGGAGTGAAAATCTCTGCCTGCTGTACTTCTCCTGTTGTTGCATTTATTATTGAGCTAATAGAACTTTCTCACAGCAGTCATTTTCAACTGCCACGGCAGGAAAAGCACAGGTGACTGTTACTAATAACACTAATTAATGCTGTGTTCCCTTTAGGTGTGCCAGAAATTAAGTAAGCAATCATGCACAATATCAGGACCTTGTGTAACATAATAGGCCTTTTTTCCATGGAAGACATTTTGACACGTCAGAGTAGGAAAAGCACAGGTGGAAATAATCAAATTAATGATGGCCAAATTCCATGTAGCTGTTTCAGTTTCAGGGTCCTGCTATTTTACATGCTGGCTCACTGGCATGATTTACTTGTTTGGAGAGATATTGAATGTATTGAGATGCGATACAGTCCAGCAAACACTGGAGGGCAATAGAGATTTAAGAACCATTTCCTCTGCATTGCTGAAATGGATTCAAGGCTGAGCAAATTCATGGATATAGTAAGTAAGTAGAAGGGGGGAAACAGCAACAAGGACCTATTAAGGCATCGCCGAAGGTTGAGCCTGAATTTAGTTTACATCAATTAAAATGTTGCTCTTAATGATTTCCACATGTTGAGAGAGACAGGATGAGTCTGGGACAATACAAGCTGTATATCTGCAGGAAGACATGTCTTGCAGCTAAACTCAAGGTTCTCTTTTATTTAATGAGGAAGTGTTCCCATATTTGTATGTGGAATCCACATATCTGTCTAATTATGGACATATATCTGATGTCATAGCCAGACATTGAGCCATACTGTGCATATCCATCACACACAGGCAGCTCAAGAGAGAATACCACTGAGTTTGAGTGTTTGGTTGAAATGTTTAGCAGCATTGATTCCTGCTGTTTTCCATTTCTAGAAATAAGCAAGAGACAAATTTGGGGATGTCAAATTAATGTACAGCTCAATTTTAAAATGAATTACAAAAGACAGAAAAGGTGACCTGCCACCTGTTACCACAATGTTTTGGCAATGAGAATACATCTTCTGGTTCTGGACCAATAGCAGAGGCATAAAATAGAGAAATTTGTGCCCACAATCTCAGCCCATCATTCACTGGAAAATGTAGCACTCTCTCAAGGTTAGCATCTTATTTCAGAGTAATTTTCCAGGTAAAGCAATTTTTAGAACAATGCAGAAATTACATGTCATTTTCTTCTCGACTGTCATGAAAGATGAGCAAGTGGAAAAGTGAGCCTTTTGCAGTATATTTTATTATTGCGTTTTGCATATACTTAGTTTTATGCAACATTTCTTATTAACAAGAAAGTGTTTAAACAACATTATTCTTTGAAAACTTAATAAAAACATTCATTTGACCACAGTGCCACCTTTAAGTCATAATACAACTTCTAGACAGTCAAAAAATAAGTCATGCACACTTACAAGATAATGGCTATAAAAGTGATTTCCTGTATTTCTAATGACCACCCAATGCTAAATGACTCAGCTACTGTACAAACGCAAGCCAAGTCCCAGCACCTCAGGCTAGAGTAACATTTGGCTCAGACAATAGGCCACCAGACCGTGCCCTCCATTAGTGCCGCTTCTGTATGTCTCATGATGTTCAGAGGGCATCTTTGACCGCCATCTGCCCTGGAAGTTTGGTCTGCCAGAGAACGACAGTCTGTGATGCTCTGACAGAGACTTGATGAATATGCAGCTTATGCGTAGACTCTCCTTCAGAATAACCCATATATCATGTTTCAACAGGTCCAACAGCGATATGTAACTGAAATGTCCCTGCCTTGATCCGCCTGGAGGCCTTTGGTGCATCCCATGTTTCCTGTCTGTTTCTACTATCTGTAAGTCAAAGCGAGGAAGTCACACAGCAATTGATAAAATCTATTGTCTGTTTTAATGTAGTCAGACAACATACTGTGAACCAATGCTTACCAACCTAGGGGATCTAGAACATCATTTTTGTTTTATTTGTTTCTTACTTTTCTCAGATCCTTACACTCAAATGAACCAATTTCAGAAGGACAGATCACTCTTTTCTCTGCTCAGTGAAAATATTGTAGCATATGTGCTGATTTTCACATTTTTAGACTGAAACTGAAGGATTAAATGTTCTTTTACTGGCTGAAAATAAATCTTCTACTGTCTTTAGCACTCTAAAAACCCAGTGAATTAAAATCTAAAAAACTGTATTTGTCACACAATGCATAAAACAAGCCTGTTTTCTCCTATTTCATGTTGTTTCAAGTTGACATTTTGGAGATACATGGTTTTCAGTGGACAGCAACAATCACATAAAGGGTCACAAACCAAAAGGGTTGGTATTCACTGACATATATGCAAAAAGTAATTATTCTTTAGCAAACTGATGTGATGTATTTTTGTGTCATTAACACAATGACTTTACGGGTAACACAAAGTGGTGATGATCTTTAATGAACAAGGTCATAAACCAGCAGTGGCCAGTTCTGATTGATGGCCCTTTCAGACAGAATGACACAATTACAACATAATCTTTCTCTCTCTCTCTCTCTC